TTTTATAGATGATTACTCGAGATATGGGTACGTTTACCTGTTGCACCGCAAGTCCGAATGCTTTGAGAAATTCAAGGAGTATCGGGCAGTTGTGGAGAAGCTTCATGCTAAAAGTATCAAGTCACTTCGTTCTGATCGAGGTGGCGAATACCTCTTTGGAGAGTTCAGGACATACTTATCGGAAGCTGGGATTGAATCCCAACTAACTGCACCTGGCACGCCCCAGCAGAACGGAGTTGCAGAGCGAAGAAATAGGACTCTTATGAAGATGATTAGGTCTATGATGAGTTATCCGAGGTTACCAGATTCTTTTTGGGGAATGGCGTTGGAAACAACATCGTACATTCTGAACTTGGTTCCATCGAAGTCAGTTGATACTACTCCTTACAAATTGTGGAAAGGGCGCAAGCCCGGGTTTTTACATATTCGGGTGTGGGGTAGTCCTGCACACGTTTTAGTGCAGGAACCTGGAAAATTGGAAAAACATTCGGAAGCACGAGTTTTCGTTAGCTATCCCAAGGAACGACAGGTGACTATTTTATAGTCCCGGGGATCAGAAGGTGATCGTTTCGACGAACGCTAGATTCTTGGAAGAAGACTATTTTATGAATCATAAGCCCTCGAGTAGATTAGTCTTAGAGGAGTTAAGGGGTGAAGTCGATGGTTCCCCACCAAGTGTGCAAGTAGATACATCACATAATACTGCAACACGGCACACTGAGAGTGTACCAGTGCAGACAGTGCCTCGTCGTAGTGGGAGGATTTCTCATTTACCCTACCGATGGATAGCTCTTGGAGAGTCATCGGACTCAGTTCCAGGAAGCCTAGAATCGGACCCAAGAACTTACGATGAGGCACTCCAAGATAAAGATGCAGATTCATGGAACGTTGCAATGAAAGCTGAAATGGGGTCAATGGACTCCAATCAGGTCTGGGATCTTGTAGAACCACTCGATGGGGTACGACACATTGGATGTAAGTGGATCTATAAGAGAAAGAGAGGATCGGATGGGAAGGTGCAAACCTTCAAAGCTAGGCTTGTTGCGAAAGGTTATACATAGATCGAGGGTATTGATTATGATGACACCTTTTCACCAGTAGCTATGCTTAAGTCCATTCAGATTCTCTTGGCTGTAGCCGCCCATAGGGATTATGAGGTTTGGCAGATCGATGTCAAGACGACTTTCCTCAACGGGAACCTTCTAGAAGACATCTATATGCAGCAACCAGAGGGATTCATTACTGAAGGTCGTGAGCCTGTAGTGTGTAAGCTTAATCGGTCTATTTATGGACTGAAGCAAGCTTCGAGATCTTGGAACATCCGTTTTGATGAGGTAATTCAGTCGTACGGGCTCACCCAATGTCCGGATGAGCACTGTGTTTACAAGAAAATCAGTGGGAGCATGGTGTGTTTTTTATGCTTTACGTAGATCACATACTGCTTATTGGAAACAGTAAGAAGGAGTTATCAGACCTAAAGGTGTGGTTGTTTAAGCAGTTTGATATGAAGGACTTAGGTGAAGCATGACACATTCTTGGTATTAGGCTCATTAGAGACCGTAAGAAGAGAATGTTGTGCTTATCCCAGTCTTCATACATAGATACTGTCTTGGCCAGATTCAGCATGCAGGATTCCAAGAAAGGTATGTTACCTTTCAGACATGGAATACCTATATCTAAGGAGATGTCTCCTAAGACGTCTAATGAGATAGAGGAGATGAAGACAGTTCCTTATGCTTCGGCAGTAGGAAGTCTCATGTATGCAATGCAGTTCACTAGGCCTGATATTAGTTATGTCGTTGGCATAGTAGCTAGATATCAAAGGAATCCGGGAAGGGAACATTGGTCTGCGGTGAAGCATATACTCAAGTACCTGAGAAGGACCAAGAAGTACATGTTAGTTTACCGTGCAGACAGCTTGTTACATCTGGGTTACAGTGATTCTGATTTACAGTTAGATAGGGATGAAAGTAAGTCAACCTCAGGTTATGTGTTTACCTTCGAAAGTGGAGCCATTTCATGGAGGAGTGGTAAGCAGAAATGCGTGGCAGACTCCACCATGGAAGTCGAGTACATAGCAGCCTCAGAGGCAGCGAAAGAGGCAGTTTGGCGCAGGAACTTCTTAGTGGACTTAGAGGTTATACCGAGTTTGCTACGTGGTATCACCGTGTACTGTGATAACAGTGGAGCAGTAGCGAACTCAAAGGAACCTCGAGCCCACAGAGCAAGCAAACACATAGAGCGCAAGTACCATCTGATTCGAGATATCATTGGTGGAGGAGGCGTTGATGTTGCCAAGATTGCGTCAGAGGACAACCTAGCTGATCCTTTCACGAAGAGTTTGCCGGATAAGGTCTTCGTCAAACACGTGGAAGGAATGGGAGTCATGAGCATGGCAATAGGATCTACATAGGTCTTTTAGAATAACGGATTGATAGGACTATATTGTAAAAGTGAAAGCTTTAAGTATAAGTGGGAGATTGTTAGTGTTATATAATGAAAGCTTGGCTTTGCATGTTATTACACATTTGCCGTTTATCAATGAGAATCATGTTATATTAAACAAGTTCTACGTTATGTTGTTCTGCACTTAGATAGGGTGGGTCGTCATCGGGCAAACCGAAGATCACTCTATCAGTTACTTGCGAACAAGAATAGTTGCTCACAACCTAGATGGACATGAACACCGCATTCGAACGGTTGTAGTGTCAACTGTATAGTTTGTCTTGACTGATTAGTTGCTCTAGTACATTTATGTATTGAACAGGATCCCAAAGAGGAGTAGTTTATTTTATATTGATCGTCGTAAATGAACTAGGCCTCGGTTAATTACTGTGTTCTCTTAACCCGTAAGATATTAAACATGCGAATATATATATAATATTATATTACTTTGATTCACTTGGGTGAGGTTCAGTTCACTGGATCAATATTTCTACTGTTTTGGGTAATATTATTGTATATAGGATGTGCTGTTAGGATATTTACGGTCACCATGTGCGTTAGTTTGATGATGTCCCCGGAGTGAGTTCATGAAGGATTGTTATGCTAAACCCTGCAGGTGGATTAAGTTCTGGCATAATAAGAATGTGATGAACGAGCGCTAGCTTCGGTGAAATAATAATAAATTAATTAATTCTTGATTGTCAGTAATCGAATTAATTAATGGACATTATATCTTAAACGTGGGGAGATAAATCGAGTAATTATTATTGGAGTCTCAAATGTAATTTGGGCTACAAAAAGGGAGTGCAATAATATAATATTAGTGGCCCATTAATATTATCTAATTAATTAGAGGAGTGGGCTTGGCCCACAGTTATTCTAATTTAATTGAGGAGCCCTATTCCTAATCTTCTAAGGGTCGCTACTGTAGCTCTATATACATCATTAAGCTCATGAGAAGTGAAGACATCTGTCATAATTAAAACACGCGCCCCGCGCCTCTCTCTCTAGATCTCATTCGAGCTTTATCTTCTTCATATTGCTCCACTGGTACAAGTTGAAGAAGGGTGTATTGAGTAATACGGTAGAAGATTTGTAGGTATACGGAGACGAAATATTTTATCCTACTGCATAAACCGGAGGTCCGATCAAGGTGCACAACATACCCAGACGGCCGTCTCGACGAGAGCTTTCCATCGCCACCGAGATCGTCGCCGTCCGCCACCTTACGCACCTGCACGCGCCGCCGGAAGGAGCCTAACTGCAAGTTTTGTTTTCATTCGTTTGCACCCGTTTGATCCGGTTTTAATCTGATCTTGTCGTGCAACCCAAGACATGATTTCCGGTCAACCGTTCGTGGTCAACCAGATCTACATAAATTTTAATTCGTAAGTTTTCTACGTCAAACCTTTAGATCCACTGTGCATTGGTTTACGTTTGCTATTGAATTCGTGACTTGTACATAACGAGATTCTCATAGATCCCAACAAAACGGACTAACTGTAATATTATTTATATACCTCAGCATGACTTATATTTTTCTAGCCGAATTTGAAGTTATGAAAATGATTGTCCTACTTTTATTAATTGATTTTTATAAGATGCGTGACTTGTTTAGAGAAATGGATTCCACTGAGACCAATACAGAAACACCCATATGGACTAATTTGGATATTTTCGCCATTGTTGGTTATAAGATAGAGTAGTGAAAAATCATCTTCAACATAGTTGATATTTTTAAACTTCATGACAATACCTAGTGAGTGAAACACCTCTGTTAGTTCCTCTTTGGTTCTTGGGTTGCTGCGAGAAGGTCTCAGCCTGGGAAATGGCTCACTCTTGGTGGTGCTCTCGGGTCTCCTCGAGTGGCTCCTTGTCGCCGTTAATCCTTGTTACCAAGAGGGATTATGCTGGGAACTTGGGTTTGTTTTTAGTGAAAATGTAAAGTGAGCAAATGAGGGAGGCGTCTAGTTCTTCTTAGCTTTAAATAAAGGGGCTTTAGGGCTGCTGAAATGGTAAGTGTCGTGATGGGGAGTAAGGCCTAAAATGGGGGAAGGTTGTTGAAGACTTGGTCTAGGGCTGCTTGGAGCCTATAGAGCTGTCCCGACTGGGAGTGTGTGAGAGAGTTGAGGGCTGCTTCTGTTGGGTGCTTGGTTCGAGATTTAAGGGAGGTTGTTAAGGTAGTTGTGACTTGGTCTTAGGCTTGGGAATGAGGGTGGCCGAGTGGAATGCTTTGGGTGCTTGGCTTTGGACTTTGAATGTCGGATCTCCTAGTTCACTTAGGAAAGACTTAGGATTATTTTAGGTATTTAGTTCATTTAGGTAGCTTAGATAATTTAGGTAAATTAAATATACTTAGGTTAATTAAATTAGGTTACTTAAATTAACTAGAAAAAAGTAGATGAGGTTATCTACTTAAAATTTATTTTTTGTAATTAAAATATTAAGCCTACACCGAAAAGCCCTCCTCTGGGGTGTTGTAAGGATTTTCTCTCTCCCTCCTTCACGTCGTCTTCCCCCAATTCATTCTTGAGAAACCCTAAATTTTCGAGCTGATGACCTCCCTTTCGTCGGGCTCCTCCGGCCGCCACGGTCGGTGATGCCCTCCTCTGGGGTGTTGGTGCGGCTCCCGGTCAGTCACCTTCCCCAATTTTCTCGGCGCAGCGAGGCTCTTCTTCAGGGAGTATGTGGCGGTGGGATGTGTGGTTTCAGCGAATGGATGACGAGTCGGCTGACGCTGGATCTGGCCGCTGTCGTGGTAGAGGTGGGTCGGAGTTCATCGCCTCTTTCTCCCCTGGATCTTCTGATTTCCCTAGTGTTGGGGCTTTAGGTCCGACGGTGAGGCAGTTGATTTCTGTTGACGATTGGCTGCCTTTGTTCTGTTTGGTGTTGGGGGTGCTTTGGGGTGGTGCTTCCATGAGGGTGTTTCGTGTGGTGTTTCGGCAGGTTGCCCGCTGGCTGTTTGAGGTTGTCTGCAAGGTGTTCTTGTGCCACGTGGCTCGTTTCTCCAGAATTCTCCGCTCAGAGGTGTAGTTCTCGCTGGCGTAGCGATGCCCAATTCCTTGATTAGGTCTCGCCATTCTCTAGCTGCTTGGATGGCGAGGAGGGTGACCGGTTATGCCGGTGTTTTTCGCAGCGTTGGGCCAACCTCTGGTGCTTCTTTGGGGTGGGCCGCGGCCTCGTTCCTCCTTTTGGGGATCCGGGGTAGAGGGTTCCGCCGCCTACTGTCGTGTCCCTCCTGTCTCTGGTGTTGGACGGAGGTGTTCGGCTGGCTAACTTAGGCCGTGGGTTATGTTCTTGAGTCTGGGCCCGGTTGTCCAGTTGGTTTAGGTGGTTTGTGGCGTTGGTCTCCGGCTGCGGGTTTCGGGTATCCTTAGGGGTGTAGGTTGGGTCCTTTGGCTTCCGACCCAGTTAGGCGTTTGAGTTGGACATTTTGTTGTTCGGATTCAAGGGGGCAACTATCATTAGTGTAAACGTCACTTAAAAGACTTGTCCATAATTGTCAATTAACAATTCAAAAGAGGGCAAATTAAAATTTTTAATAGTAATAGTAAAAAAATTAAAATTTGAGGGGGCAACTATCATTAGTGTAAATTCGCCCTTGCCCACAAAATAACAAACTAAATAACTAACGCTGCCAAAAGAAGAATAGCAAAGCTCCTAACAGGAGAATATGCAAAACGCTTGAACTCTTGATATTTTAAATGGTCCATATAAAAGACTTCAACTCTTGATATTTTTTGACCGAATACCGAAAATCGAACTGAACTGAACCGAATCGATGAGAAATAAACCGAATCGAACTGGCATATGTGTAACGGTAACTGAAAATCGGTTACCGAAATGTTATCAGTTCTGAACCTATTATATTATGTTTTTTGCCCCCTCTCAACTAATTTTCTAGTTTCGCTCCTGGTTGTGGGTGAGTTAGTGTAGTTGCTTCTAGACTACATCCGGGTAGGCTTCCTAGATTCAGTTGTTTGGCTGCTTGGTGAATCTAACTGTAATTATGTGGTTTTAGTTTTTATAAACTTTCTATCGTTTCGAAAAAAAAAAGTAATTAAAAGAATAACGATTTCAAGATTTAAAACATTAATCGAGTTATAAATGGGGTCATTTACACATATACTACACTATTCAACAAAAATTGCAACTCTACCATCCCACTAATATTAATTGCGTGCATACCTAAAATATTAGATTTAATTAGATTAATTCCTACTGTCTGTTACCATAATATCCAACGTCCCCCTTAATTTCCAACGTCCCCTTAATTTGCGCTTGATTACTGTTTCACCTTATTGAAAAAAAAAAGCCAAAATTAACATAAAAAACCTGAAAAATATACATTCAGAAAGTTTATTGTGAATTTGAATCCAAAAACAGGTTGATTGGAAATCTGAAAAAATGTATATATTTAATTTATATAACGTATATATTACACATATGAACTGTATATGTTTAGTTTATTTAACATAAATAATTTTATATATAATGTTTACACATACGAAACTGTATATGTTTAGTTTATATAACGTATATATTATCATCCACTAAAATTAGTTGCGTGCTGAGGACGGAGAAATATTTGGAGAAATCTGCAGAGGAGGATAAGGATGAGGACGGAGCTTCTAAAGATGCTAAAATCTCCGAATATGCTCCCTTCAAGGAGGAAACCAACAAGGCCGACGAGTTAATCAACCCGGAGAAAATGGCATTGGATGAATTCAAGGTTCTGATCCAAAGGCGCTCAGCAAGCGCGAGTTCTCCGCGGCCGCCTCCTGGAAGCCCAGGCCCCAGCTCCGTTTCAAGTCCCAATCGCTTTTCACCATTTTTTTTTTTTCGCAGATGATGAACAAAAACGAAAAGGGATTTTTCTCTTTCGTTGATTTTTTATTTCCATCAATCGAAATTAAATTAAAGATTCGACCTTTATATATATGTGTATGTGAATGAGAAGAAAAAACAGAGCCAGATCGAGAGGTAATTGGTCGGAACAAGAAGAAGAAGAAGAAGAAGGAGAGAGAGAGAAAGAGAGAGAGAGAGAGAGAGAGAGAGAGAGAGAGAGGGAGTGAGATGGAGAATAAATCCCATAAAATTTGAAAGGTGATAAGTCTCCTTTAATTATGGTGACTTCATTATCTGATAATATTGCAATTATAAAGGTGAGATCTTGTATATTTGTTAATATTTGCAATGAGATTTTATTTATGTAATTAAAATTGATATATAGTGTATAGTGTGCAATTTTCTCTCATAAATGAATGTAAAAACGTGATACGCTTTTATTAAAGAAACGGAGCGCTTTAGAAACGGCTTTTTTGATATTTTGTCTTGTCATCCGCCACGCAGGATGCCATGCAGAAATTAAATGAACCAACTGTAATATTATTAATCCACCTCAGCATGACGCGTCTTTTTCTAGCCGAATTTGAAGTTCTGAAAACGATTGTCCTACTTTTATTAATTGATTTTTAAAAGATACGAGACTGGTTTAGGGAAATTAATTCCGGTGAGACCAATAGTGAAACACCCTTATAATTACAGGACTAATTTTTGATATTTTTGCCATTGTTAATTATAAGACTACTCTTATAAGAGAGTAGTCGATAGTCATCTTCAACGAAGCTGATATTTTGAAACTTGATGACAATACCTAGTGTGTGGGACATGGACTTGGACTGGGAGGGTGAACTACTTACAACAAATATTAATGTCATTAACAATCCACATCATGATAACATGAACCTCGTAGGGCAGATCTAAATGTAGCAAATTTAATTACATGAATAAGTAGGTGTCTATTTAATACTACTATACCACCAGTATAGTATTACCTTAATTAATTACCTATACACTGCAAGCCAAACCAAGCCAAGCCTTACATAACATTAGGTTTGGGTGACGAAACAGAATTCATCATCATCTTCCGCTTAACATAATTAATTTCCTTCAACCTCTTGTCCTTATAATAGTTATGGTGCCTCTGCCCTGTGTGTGAATCCTTTTAAATGCCACGACAGCTTTACCGGACAAGCCCGGCCCGTTTGGTGACACCAGTGGTTGACAGGCAAAGTCCCCCACAGGATGGCGAACTGGCCTCGTTGGCGCCATTAGGAGTCTCTCATTGATCTCTTTCAATGTCATGTCCCCTTCAAATCCACCGGGCTTCACCAACGCAAATGGATACACCAATCTCTTCTTTCTTTTCTCTCCTGCCCCACAAATATATAATATAATCAATATATTAATTTTCAATTCCTATATATTATCATCTTTAACAAAGGTATTGGAATTGGGCCCGCCCATGTTTTTAATTCATTCTACATGCATATATGCGTATGATGTGACTAATAACATACGCAACTTATGTGTAACATTCAATTAGATTTGCTAGATCATATCACGCATACAATATGAAGTAAATTTAAATTGTTACAACATCTTTTCGGTAATTAAATAAAAGTAAAATATTCAAAGCTAGCTAGAGACACTTTAAGGAGTAACTTGTAACTTAGCTCTGGAATAAGGACCGACACCTTATTTGAGGACCATATATCTAGGAATTTAATTATAAATCCTGAAATTATTGTGTAAATCAACAAAGAATTCGTGGTCTAGTAAGTTGAAGTTGGTTTATTTTGAGTAATGTTTTGTACAAAGTCATACAGGAGACAAAGTCCATCAAGTTGGAATATATAGTCTTTTTCTTTATGGAATACATGGAAGTCTATTTTCCTCTCCTAAAGTACAGTTATTTATTGAATTTGGTCAATCCCAACTTGCAGCTTTTGGGAGGGAAAGACAAGTGCAGAAACATTTTGGGAAATAAAGTTGATTCTTACACCAAAAACAAAATTAAACAATTACAATAATCCATTATCTCTAGAGATAAACAGAAGGCACAGACCAAATAATAATAATAATAATAATAACTTAAATAAAATCATTTTACCAGGAGAAAATATGGGGTCTGTGCAGTATAGGTTTTCTTTCTCTGGTGTCCACTGTTTCTGCGAAGATGATGATGAATCATAATAATCTTCCGAAACTGCCTCTTCAGGCGTCTTCATATCTGCATATAATATATATATATATATAAATTCAGTAAGTCATGAGTATAAAAAAATCGAATTACAGAGCCTATGTCACTCCAAATTATAAAAATATTGTACCAACTATAAATTAACTTTATGTTCAATTTTTAACATGCAAACAAGTAAGCCAGTCAACGCAAATGCGCATTTTCCACACTCTGTATGGACTGCTTCGCAGAGTTGGATTATCAAATTAGCTAGTATTGTAAATTAGTGGTAATTAACTGTTTATTGGTAATTAATTGAAGAAAATTACCTGAAATGTTTCTGTCGAACTTTGTTATCTCACCCAGGGAGTTAAAATCCTGGTAACAATTCTGGAAGGGATCTGATGCCCAGCAGTCCTACATAAAACCAATAAAAAACAGCAAAAATAAATTTAAATGACATAATAAAAATTCAATCGACCTTATTTGAATTTTGACTTTTTAACATACCAACAAATCAATCAATTACGCGGATTACACCAAATAAATCAACATTTCAATAATTACTTTATAAACACACTTGCTTTTGACATGCATATTTTATTTTTCAAAAAACAAAAATAAAAAAGAATTACATCCAAACATTATTAATTAAGACGAGATCTAGAGAGAGGGAGAGAAAAAAAAAAAGTGTACCTTGATTGAGGAATCGAAGTGGAGTGACGTGTAATCGACATGGTTGGGGAGGAGGAGCAGCCTTCTCCGTTTAGAGCTGAACTGGAAAAGCACGTCTTCAAGATATCCGGTCGATATTAAATCTGAGCCGTCAGATTCGGCTGGGCCGTCACTCACCATTATCACCTTGGTTGGTCGTTGCTGCTCTTCAAATTTAAATGTTATCAGATAGACAAACAAAAGCAAACTTTAACATTACATATGTATATTTATGTATATACACATATGAAGAGAGAGAGAGAGAGAAAAAAAAAAAGAGAGAGAGACTTATATAATTATATATGTCATAAAATTAAGGAGAAACAAGCTAGCGAAAGAAATATATGAGTATGTAAAAGCAAAAGTAAAGTAAAGGAATAAGAAGAGTAATAAGAAGAAAAGATGAGAAAAATAAAGTGATAAAAGGCTGGGGCACGTATATAGTTGCATACATACACATACAGTCATAATAATATTTGTCTGCGTTGAAAATTCCGAGGCAGTTGTGTAAATCCCAAGCTAGCCAGCTACTATTGGAGAAGGTGAATTATAATTAGAGCAGTGAAGGTGAATTATTATTAGAGCAGTAGCTCATGCTGAATCCCATGGGACTGGATTCCTCCGCCAATTATGTTATGGCCAATGTGGATCCCGCCGTTCATATCATAGCTCAATTGAGCAATGCTATAACTACATAATGATGTACATAAATGATGTACATAGATGTGTACGTAACGCTTACATAGGGTGAGTCCTACCAAAAATAAAAAATTAAGTGGACCCCACTCCATGTGAGTGTTATGTACATCTCTACGTACATTTGTTACGTACTTGTAACATTTTTCTAACTCAACTAGACATGCCCGCCCGCAACCAGCCCGTATTCGCCGGTTCGTTGAACTGGAACCTTGGCCATGCGGGCCGGTCCCAGTACTTAGTTTTCTTTTTTGGTCCTGGCAGTCCCGGGCCGTGGGTTGGTTTCGTCATCAATAATAGTACATTATTTTGTAATTTGTATCACTATTGAGACATTAATCCGAAAATGGTTCATTATTTTTTGGGATTAGTGTCCTAAAAATGAAACAAATTACAACATAACGTACTGTTTTTTATGAGTAATGTCCCAAAAATGATACAAATTGCAACATAACTTACTATTTTTGATATGGGGTAAGTTAGTGTACTAAAAATGAACTTTAGACAAGTAAACAAACAAAAATTGAAATTATTGTGATAACATACCTAAAGGAGTAAAACCAACCTAATAAGCCAATCTAACGAATCAATCGAGTGCACCCGCTGAACCGCTCTGGTCGAGCAAATACGGAAAGGGTGGTCGTGGTCGAAAATCATGAGAACAAGAGTCTCTGGACAAAAAGATACCTTGAAGAGCGATTCCGGTGCAGGGAGAACATGTCTGTCCCAGACCCGTGGAGGGTCTGGTCGAAGATCCTATCATACAACTGGTCGTCCGATCAATAACTTTCCAGACTTGGACCAATCAGTGAATTGACCTCAACTTGGTCAAACACTAGAGCCTTCGAGGAGATCTTAGAGGAATCAAACCCTCATATCCGGAGGACACCTAGCGTGGCCTGGTTGGCCCAAATTGAGTAACCGTCTCTGACACACCCCAGTGTGTGTTGTACTATCGGGCAGGCCGGGCAGCTCTTGGGCAACTAGCTCAGCTAACTCAGATAGCTTCTAGAACAGGTACCCCACCTCTACATATAGGGGTGGGCTTTACAATTGTACACATGATTTCCATTATACTCTTTGAGACTTGAGTTTTGGAGTGATATTGACTTAAGCATCGGAGGCTCTTCACCGGAAAATCCCTCCGGTGTGAGAGTTTTTGCAGGTACTCGACGTTCTACCGGCAGGAAGGAGTTCGAGTAGGTCGTTTTCAGCCGGTTAGGAAGTTATGACGTACCATTTTGGCGCCGTCTGTGGGACTTTTGTTCGAAAGGTTGTGTGCTGAGGGTCTTTGAGCTGTTTGGTTTTGGAGAACGGAATTCCCAGAATGAATTTACAACCATTGTTTGATGAGGCGTGGACGACGGCACGACCGTTTAGAGAGGGCCCTCCTCCAGGTTTCTCGGACCTTTTGAGACGCCGGTGACCCCCAACACTTGCTCCTCAAGGTTTAGGGAGTTCAACGGCGATTCCAGGGGCGAATGTAGGCTCCAGCCGGGTGCATGAAGCTCAAACAAGGCAGGCGACAACGGTGCTTGCACCGTTGCAGCTAGACCTACCGAGAGGACAACCTGTTGGAGCGGTGGTGCATGTAGTAGTGCTGTAACATCCCGCTTATCAGAGTAAATTTTTTCGCAACTTATCTTTCGAAAATACTTATGAATCATCTTAACTCAGGATGCTACTAAAACTTATCTTTTCTAAAATCTGTTTATCTTTAAACTTTGTCTAACTTACTAATTTAGACATAAAGAAAACAAATTTATTTAAACTTGCATTTAAACTGTACTATATTCATACTGCTGAAATGATGAAAAACTGAAATCTGAAATTTAATAAAATGCAAGTTCAAGTCCTAATATGCATAGCGGAAATACTTAAAAACGTCATTAATTATACAGACATAACAGTTCATCAAATAAATATCCACAAATGCGCAACCACCATCACCACATCTGAGCTCACACCTCCGGCCTGACCCTGTTACCTGAAAAACACAATGAAGGTGAGTACAAGTCCTTTTGTACCCCAAAATAACCCATACTAAAGTAAACAGCAATAATAATACAATATCATGATCATTGGTATATATCTGGACTGGAAATCTGTTCCAGTAACTGGAACTGAATCTGTAATCTGGCCGATATCTGATCGGATACGTGTGCACACTCTGATGGATATTTCTAAGGCAACTGAGGGCCTCCAACAGAACTTAGGATATACTGTCAAGGCAGCTGAGGGCCTTCATCCTAAGTGTAAAAACTGTATACATACCTTGGATATGATATCAATATTATAGTCAGTGTAATATCCAGGCTGGGTCCCCACCTTTCTTCTTTTGAAAACTCGTAAGCGCTGAATGATATAGCTGAATCTTCAAGCTACATACAAATATAAACCAATATACTAAGTACTATGCTTATATACTCGATAAGATGCTTGAATACTTGATTCTATCACTTATCCGGATTTTAATGGACACTCTAAAAATTCACTAAAATCCAAAATTTTTTATTTAAGATTGAGTACTTTCACATATAAATCATAACTCCAAATCTTGGATATTGTTTTACTCATATGAAACTTAAAATGACTCGGAAGTGAAAATAAACTAAATATCACATAATAGATAACCGAGTACATCAAAAAAGTTTCAACTTTTATCAACATCATAAATATGATTTATAAGGATTTATAAGCTATCAGTCTTGTCTTAAACTTGCTTGATACTAAAATTTCAACTTAATGCTCATACAATACAAGTTTTTATCATAACACTAAATTATGATATTGATATACTAGACTTGAAGCAATTTTATAAAATCGTATACTCAACATTCTAAACTGAAACTTGGTCAAATTGCTCATAACTCATATGAGAATTTGTCATAAAAATTTCACTTTAAAAACTCAACCATGTACTGAATACCCTTGCATATAAAATCATCTTGACATGGATGCCATAAAAATAATTTAACTCATTCGTTTCTCAACATAAAATCATGAAATTTGGCAGTCATGTTCTTGACCCATATATAAGCATGTCGTAAAAATTATATAATTGTATCATGCATATATATCGAGTTATAAGAATTTTAAAATCACAGCTGAAATAAAGAACCTAAAATTCAACTTGCATGCTTAACTTCAAATATCTACAACTCAAGCTATATTATGCCAAATGACATGATTCTTTTTCTTATGCACTCCTTATTTACATAAGAATTACTCATTTAGATCATACTTTACTGGTTTATTCTTATCATTATAAGAATCTCATTAAAACCGAGTACATCTATTATACAAATAATCTTAAAACAACTTTAACTTCTTATATTCATTAATTCAGTTATAAATTCACTTCTAAGTCATTAGTATATACTAATAACCATTTAAATTCATCTATAAAGTATGAAATTAAGACAAGTAGATTACCTTCTTCTTGCTAGAAAATCGATTTTTCTTTCCTTCACACTTCACAAGAATTTCTATAACTTCTTCTCTCTAATAAAACTATATAACTTTCGTAATTTCTCTTTTATGAAAATCTCTGAAATCTAGGCCTCTATTTATAGGCACAAATTTGAGACAAGAACATTGAGTGAAGAAATTAACCAAATAAATAAATGAAACTTATAAAAATAAACAATCATAAACATTACAATTTCTAACTTGTAAAAGTCATCAACACTTAATTTAATGCAAAAAAATGGACACTGATTGATATCACAATCGGATTCTCAATAATTAGATTTTTATGTCGGTCACACGACTCATGTGGCTTGTGTCACACGACTCGTGTGACCTCACACGACTCGTGTGACAAACCCTAACCTTTTATCTGTTCTTTGTCCACACGACTCATGTGGCTTGTCACACGACTCGTGTGGCCTCACACGACTCATGTGATGCTCTAGATTGAACAACTCTAAATTTCTAACTTATAACTGAATAACTTGGCCTAGTAATTAGTTCAATCATGGAACTGATTCTTTAATTCATACTTAGAAGGGATATTACAATCTACCCCCCTTAAAATTATTTCTGTCCTTGGAAATACTGAACTGAAGATACATACAACTATTTACATATCAAAATTCAAAATCTGGAAAACGATCCCTAATATCAGCTTCTCGCTTCCAAGTGGCATATGATTCTCCGTTGCGATTCCATTTAATACGAACGAGGGGAATATCTCGATTCCTGAGCCGATGAACCTTTCGGTCCAGAACTGATACCGGCTGTTCCTCGTAAGTTAAATGTGGCTGAATATGAATCTCATTGTGTTGAAGCACATGCTCTGGATCGCTCACGTATGCACGTAACATCGATACATGAAAAACATTATGCACACTGGACAACTCGGGAGGTAAAGCTAAACGATAGGATACTTCTCCTACTCACTCCAGAACTTCGAATGGACCTATATATCGAGGATACAACTTTCCCTTCTTCCCAAAACGAATGACACCTCACGTTGGTCGAACTTTCAGGAACACTTTATCGCCTACCTCAAACTGCATCTCTCGTCTATGCTTATCAGCTGAAGACTTTTGCTGACTTTGAGCTGTCTTGA